TCACTAAAGGAAGCGGCCACGGTTGTTGAGCCCCAGCTGAACACATTTGATAAACAGCATTTCTGGCTATGGACTGATTGGACTGTGAGCTCCATGAGGTCAGAGGTTTTGTCTGAATTGTTTTCTGCTGTGTCCTCAGAGCCTAGACTATTACATTCATTGCTAAATAAACACTTGGATACACATCAGAAGGAATTTTTCCTCAGGAGCTCTTTAGGTGAACATCAGACAGGTAAGAGTAGTGGCAGTAGGTCTGAATTATGCTGGCAGTGGTGTATAGTCTATGTCGTCTCCCTCGAATCTAGGTGAGCTCCATGACTGCTTTGGCCAATAGGCTAGGAGAGAAGGGATGCTTTTTCAGTTGCCAGGCTGACCTTAAGAGAATGGCAACTTCCAAGGCCTGTTTCTATGGAGCCCTGAGCCTGTCATGTAAAAAGTTCAGCTACCCTGATGGAAAGGCTATGTGGAGAGGCTCTGAGACTACATAGAGAGGAATCCGGCTGATCCTGCCCTTTCAGCCATTCCCAACAAGTGCCAGGCCCACAAACAAGGCTGTGTTGGACCCTCCAGACTAGCCTAGCTGCCAGTTAGAATACTACCTACGGACTCTGGTTGATGCCATATGGAAGAGAGGAGTCATCCAGCTGAGCCCCACCTGCGTTCTTGATGCAAAACTTGTGAGCTATATAATACAGTTGTTCGAAACCCTGAGTTTTTGGATAATTTATTACATAGCCTTAGATAACCAGAATACACTTCAAGTGTGATCTTACTGAATACAAAGCTAACTGTGATGGGGTTGCAGAAAATGTCCCATTTATATTTCATGTAGATTGCCAGGGCTATAGTTTTAACCCTGTACTGCATTTCTGTGAGGTGTTCCTAAAACATCCAAGTTTTGTTCCAGAATCTTTGTAAAGCAAGAGATCTTGGATGTTGACAAATAATGCTGATTTGTTGGGGAAAAAATATCAACAATAACAGTAGCCATGTGGGAAAGATGCCTATGGAGACTGGAAATGCTGTGCTTTGAAGACAGCAATGTTACTGCATATCTGAAAATGTGAATTTCTTCCACTGCAAAGGCTTCTTACTGGTGGAAATCTGGGCAAAACTGTGAAAAAGACTCTAATAATCTCTATGCAGGGCCAAGGAAGCATAAAGTGACCCACATCCCATTAAGCAATGGTGAGCTTGCTATATGTTGCTTTAAAAAATTAATTATTGAGGTAAAAAACACATGTCATAAAATTTACCATCTTAACCATCTTTAAGTGGGCAGTTCAGTGTACACTTAACAGTAGTGTTAAATATATTTACATTGTTGTGAAACAGAGCCTCTGAATCTTTTTATCTTGCAGAACTGAAACTCTGTACCCATTAACAACAATTCCCCTTTGTCTCTCCTTCCAGGCCCTGGTAATTACCATTCTACTTTCTATATTTATGAATTTTGCTATTTTAGATATATCTCATGTAAGTGGAATCATACAGTACTTGTTCTTTTGTGACTGGCTTTTTTCACTTAGCATAATGTCTTTAGGGATCATACATGTTGTAGCATGTGGCAAGATTTCCTTTTAAAGGTTGCATTGTATCCTATTGTATAGATTTATCACATTTTGTTTATCCATTCATCTGTGAGGGACGTCTGGGTTGCTTCTACCTCTTGGCTATTGTGAATAGTGCTGCAATGAACACGGGTGTCCAAATATCTCCTTGAGACTCTGCTTTCAGTTCTTTTGGATATGTGCTTAGAAGTGGGATTGCCAGATCATTTGGTAGTTCTATTTTTAATTTTTTTGAGGATCTACCATACTGTTTCCCACAGGAGTTGCACATTTTACAATCCCACCAAGTACAGTGTGCTTTTAGAGGCTCGATTGTCATGTATATGATAAGATATTGCCTTAAGTACAATAGAGAAATCAACAGAAACAAAATCCAGACCATTGTACTTCAGATATAGCAATCAGAAGAGTTTACAAAACACTGACCATTCATTATGTCTTTTAAAAATGGAAATAGACAATTTTTAGACATTTTTAGTGTAATTAGGCTAGTGTTTTGAATTACATTTTGTCTTACATTTAGAAAGACCTGGCTATATTTTTGGACTATTTGAGTAGCCTGTCTTCTGTGTTAAATTTTGAGTGAAATATTTAAAATATTTCATATCTACAGAAAATAAAAAAATAATATCACAAGGTCCTTACAACCCAGACTGAATAAAACCACATTTTTGGCATATTTCTTTAGATTTGTTCCCAGGACTAGTGCAGTAGGGCAGGAAAAGAAATCCAACAAATAGTTCTACTCCTGCTGACCATGGCAGCAAACAAAAATGCATAAAATAAGATAAAGGAAACTACTAAGTAAATGAATTCATAATTGGCTACCTACTGTTCTTCCCATAGTTAGAGAGAAATCATGGGCCCTGGTCATATAGACCTGGATTCATGTCCTGGGTTTGTGTTTTGCCAGTTGTGTGGCCTTGAGCAAGAAACCTATCCCTGCTTCAGTTTCCTCATCTGTAAAATTAATATAATCATAATGCTTCCCAAGATTGTTGTGAGGATTAAATGAGAAATATGAACATTTACATATATGTACTATGTACAGTAAGTGACACATAGTAAAGTGTCAATAAATATTAGCAATTACTTATTTTGTTTATTGAGCACCTACTATATGCCACTCTTCTGGGCTGGGAGTTCAGCAGTGAACAAGAGAGATAAAGACCCTGTGGAGCTTACTTTCTAGTGATAGAGAATAAACAAACAAGGTAATTTCAGATAGTGATAGAGACCATGAAGAAAAGATAAAGTGTGGGAGGGGATGCAAGAGCTACTCGAAGGAGACAGGAGGTCATGGGAGACCTGCATGAGCCTTCAGAGGTGAAGTTTAATTCAGAGTAGAAGACGGAATGGTTCCCTGGAAGGTTTGGGTGTTCCAGAGAACAGGAACAGTATATGCTTAGGCCCTGAGGCAACAAAGCTTGGCTTGTACAAGAGGCAGAAAGAAGATAAATGGCTGGAGCTGTATGTGAGGGGAAAGGAGGCAGGGCATGACTCCTGAGAGTTAGGAAGAACAGACCAGAAGGGCCTCGTAGACCACAGTAAAGAGCATGGACTTCATTTGTAAGGGACTGTGAAGATATTGCGAGGTTTTTATTACTAGTAGGCACAACATGCATTTGCTTGGGGGAGGAATTTGTGTGCTTTTCCTATAGCTCTGTTTTAGAATTATGTGTATGCATATGCTTTAGGAGTAATTTTTCTGGGGATACCACACTGGTTACTCATGGGCTCCTCCTGGTGGAGTTGGCTCAGCTTGCATGGTTTCTGATGAGCAAAAGCAAAGTAAATGAGCAATTCATCCTTTCAGTCAACAAACATTTATTGGGCACCCACCAAGTGCTAGGGTCTTCTCTGGTGCTGAAATATGTCCGTGAACAAAACAGACAACATCAGTGCCTTCACAGAGCTTACATTCTGGTGTGTGTGTGTGTCAGGGAGAGAGAAACATTAAACCAAATTCATTAGCAATTGTTGGATGGGATAAACGAGAAAATTAAGTGGGGAACTGGCTAGGAAGCACAGGGAGGATGGTGATGCTTTAATTTTAAATATATTGTCAGGGAAGGCCTCCTTGAGAGGGTGACTTTTGAACAAAGATGTTAAGGAGGAGATAGGGTGAATAATGCAGTTTATCTGGGAGAAGAGCATTCCTGACAAAACCAGAGTCTTTCTGCAGGTTTGAGGAATAGGAAAGAGGCCAATGTACCCAGAGGGGAGGGACAATGGAAAGAGTAGGCGATGAGGTTAGCTGGCTGTGAGGGGTGGGGGTCAGGACGGGGAGTTGTCAATTTTTGAGTGCTCTCTAGGCAAATTTAAGGATTTGGTTTTCACTTCAAATAGGAATCCCCTGGAAGAGGGCCATGATCTGATTAAGGTTTTAACAGGAGCCCACCGCTATGTATTAACAGATTGTGAAAGGCAAAGGTATAAAAAGGTTAAACTGTAACATACTGACTGTTGCTTGTACCAGTGCAGACAGTAAATTGTCATATTCTGGACAGACTTTGAAGGCAGATCCCGCAGAACTTACTGATGAATTAGATGTAGGGTGTGAGAGAGAGGAGTCAAGGATCTTAGTAAATGATACTACTTAGTAAATTGTTGTCATGGGAAGAGTTGATCAAAGAATATACATCCAAAAATGTATAAAAAAATAATTTTAGAGATGATCAAGCAGTTAATCAGTAGTGTAATCTTTCTAGTTTTTGTGATATTTGTGAAGTTTAAAAAATTTGTAATTAGTGATTTCTTTTCACTCAAAAGATTCATTTTTACACCTAACATTGTATTTGTAATTTTGGATTTTCTTACAGAAGGCCTCCAAAATGAATAAACTTCAGGCCTCCACAAAACTTGAATTCAACCCTGCTCCTTGCTCATTTGGGTAAAATTAACAAAGCATTAATATTTTTTGTTTCTAGTAAAACTGTTACCTAAAATAATGCGCACGAAAGAGAAGTTAATTGTAAGGTGAATACAACATTAGTAATAAGCTAATGGGGGATAAAAACATCACCTTGGGTTAGCCTTCCCTTCAAGTGTTTTCCAAAACTTCCCACCCATTCCTCCTCCCACGGTTTTACTAAATCTACCAGATGCATCCAGCATTTATTTCTCCTCACGTTCGCTTTAGGAAGACAGGGATTACACGCATTTTCAAAGACACAGAAAAACGAATGCTGAACTCAAGGGGCTGCTTACGCCTCAGCCCAACCACGGTCTGGGCACGGCAAGAACCAGTCCCTTCGAACGAAACACCAAGTAGGCGTCGAGTGGGGCTTGACCAGGGGCGGGGCTCCAGGAACGGCAGAGTGGGCGGGTTCTAGGCGCTTCCTTGCCCCGCCCCGTGAGGCCTGACACATGCGCCCAGAGGCTTCTGGTGGAGCGAGGTGTGGATTGAGAGGTGACCCTGGTGCTGACTTCCGGTTCCTAAGGATGCGTATCCGGGTCACGCTAACGCCGCGGTTTCCTCCTCCCGTTTGGTTTATCTGTGGGTCTGGACCAGTCCCCATGTCTTGCTGTGTGGCCTTTGCCGGCTTTGGGTGAGTCTCCGCCGCCGGCTGGTTTTGAGTGCAGCAGGTTGAGTACAGACTATAGGGGAACGGGTCAGGAGTTCTGTCTCAGTCGTTGTGGGTCGGGGTTCTCTGTGCCTGTCCCTTGTCCCTGCAGGGCTGCCCTCCCTGAAGCCTTTTCCCTCACTCTGGCCTCGCCTCTTTCACTTCAGCTTAGCCTTTCTCGTCTTCGTGCCCCTCTCGCTTCGCTGTTTTTCCTCAGCCTCACCCGCCCCTTACAAGCCCTAGTCTCTTAACTTTCGCTTCAGCACTTCCCGCAGCTACTGCCTCTGTTTTCCCTCTTTAACTTTAGCGCTTCTCTTCCTCGACCCCTGATCCCGGGATTTCACCCGCCAGGACGGCCCACCCCCCCATTGTGTTCACCCTCCTCCACTACAAAACAGCCTGTCTGTCTAGGGTCCTGGGTTCTCCTCTCCCAGCTTTCTTCACCTTTGACTCCTGCCCTCTCCCGGGATTGGTAGGTGACATTTGTCCGTCGCCTGAGGTTCTCCCGCCTTTTCTTAGCTAGAGGGGGCCCCAGTCTGGGCAGATTTATCCGGCCTAGGGGAAGTTTTGTTTTATTAAGTCGCTGGGTTAGACTGAACTCTGGTAGCTTCCGTAGTTAGGAAAAAACAAAGGCGTTCCCAGTTCTTCGCTGGAGCACAGTTTTGGGGTTCTGTGTAGAATAGGCTAACAGGTGGCAGGCACACGGGACTACTAGCTATTAGGCTTGTGTGATCTGGTTAATTGACAGATCATGAGGACGTCCTGTCATTTTTGTGTTCTTTATCCCATGAGAATGAATGTGCAGAGCTGCTTTGTTTTCTAAATGGGCTTTACTTACAGAACAGTTGCTGTAACAGAGGACAAGAGTTTCTTGGGAGATTTTTAGCCCCAGTTTTTTATAAGCTTATTGCCAAAAATTTAGTGAGTTGTTTCTGAAACGGTTTCTGCTAGAGTTCTCTATAGTATTTCAAAGTACATTTTCATTTGTTGAACTCTGTGCATATGTATCTTTATCCTTGTCTCTTATACATTGTTTCTTCAATATTATTTGTGTTGACAAGTTTTCTGTTTTTTTGTTTCTTTACAAGCCAGACATTACAGTACTTTATGAGAATAGTCTTTTTTTTTTCCTACACTCTTTCCACCCTAGTGTTAAAACTGTCTTTTTCCCATTTTGATAATCAAGTTTCTCTTAAATTTTCTCTGGAGGCTTTTAGTCATCTCTAAAATGGATTGGATTTAATAATGGCTAAGGTCCCATTTCCCAAATTTTGTGAGGTATATTTTGAGATACAGGGTTGGATTTTTATATACGTTTTTATATACGTTTATATATATATAAATGTCTAGCATTTAATTGCAAATGTGTTTGTGTGATCAGTTTCTGTAATCAGAAATTGTGTTCTAAAATTTAGCACCCAGTGAGCAGAATAAATACAGCTTTTAGCATGTGCTTCTCTTTTGACTAATGAGTTATAGAAAAGTTTCCCACATTATATGATACATATACATATGTGAGCATAGCATAGACCTTGGCTTATTCCAAAATTGGGCTGCTCCCTTCAGCTATTTTTAGCAAAGGACTTTGGAGCTTGGCCATTCTAGTACTAAAAGCCACAGAGAAGGACCCTTCTGGTTGGCTTTCAGGACTTAACTGCTGAGAGAAACCCTTTTAAAAGCTCCTCACTAGTACCTCCTTCCAAGCACCTACACTGGAAACCCTAGCTTCTTTCCAACCTGACTTCATTATTTCCCAGCCTTAAAACGAACCCAGGTAAGTGTGTATGAGCTGACTCTTTACCGCTTTCTTACCTCCAGGTTTGTGGGCATTTTTTTTTTTTTTAAGCCATGGGAATTCTACAGAGACCTAGATTTGAATCAACTCAAGGCCCTCTGTCAGCCTTTTTCATTTATGAACTTAATTCTTGAGCAAGTCTAAATCTAAATCTATAGAGATTTCTAGAAGGTTTACAGCTGGAGGGAACCACAGAGTTCCACTTAACCTCTTCATTTTACAGATAAGGAAATCAGGGCTTGAAGAATTGGTGGTGATTTTTTCCAAGGTCATTTTTTACAAATAAGTCCTGTACATGCATTAGTGCCATCAAAGCTGTAGGCTGGAAAATATTTAGTGGTTCATTTCGATAAATTATATCATAAGAATGAAAGTTTTAGGATAAGAAATCTATGGCAGTTTTTAAATTCAAGGCTGTAGTCATTTTGTCTTTGAAGAGGGACTCTAGAAAGAAACTGTTGCACAGAAGTAGAAGTTGGAAAGACTTAAGGAGTCTCTTTTCTTCTAAAATCACTTTGACCTATCATGATATAAATTCTGCATAAAAGCACCTACATGAGATGAACATCCTCTGGTCTCATTGGAGCATATATAGGCTGTTCATATATTTTAATTTATGTGTGATTTAAATGGAGCAGTTGTGTTCATGCTTCTGGTCTTCAACAGAACATTGATAGGCTTTGTAATTACTGAAAAGCCTGCACCTCCGACCTAGGTGCCAAACAAAAAAAACTGTAAATAGAGATAGCTTAGTGTATTGTTTGTAAAGCTCAGGAGAGGAAATGCTGTTGGTTTGCTGTAGAAATTTCTACCTTAGTTTGGCAAAGTCTTAGTTTGTAACCTTGATGCTGTGTTTAAAATACATTTCTACAAATTAGTTTTATTCCTTTCAGGTTTCTTTGTTTAGTTTGACCATTTTTGATTGTTACTTTTTTTTTTTTACCATTTTTACTTTCTACTGTACTTTGTTTTGCATGTTTTAATTTTTATCCTTGAACCCTAGGATGTGTTTTTAGGAAAATACAGTTTAAAATTTTTAAGAAACAAAATTCCACTATGTCCTTACCATTTGTACCTTATGGTATGATCGTTTCTGAGATCTGCCTAAGCCATAAATCACAATTTCATTTTCTTTGTTTTGCTTACAGATAAAAGGTTCGTGGAACTTTTTGCTAAAAGAAGAGATTTTGCTACATATTTTTTGATAACAGTCTAAAAGATGTTTGTGTTCTGCATATAACAACTATTCTAATTTATATGTGATTTTAAATGGAGGAAGAATAGTTCAGAGTAGTTGAATCTAAATAATTTACCATAGAAATAATTCAGTTTGTATTTAAGAATTTTAGGAATAGTTTGTCCTTCTCATACATTCATTTAACTGGCTTATACCAAGAGAGTAAATGTTGTTATAGTAAAGTGGAAAATAGGGGGCCCTTCTATCTGCTGATTAACGTAAAAATACAGACACATGTTCTTGTACAGACTGTATGGCTTAAGCTATAAACTGCCATATTGATACATTTTTTGGCAGAGAAGATAGCAAACATTGGACAGCAGCCATGTCATCATGTTCATATTTTTATTTAGTCCCATCAACCTAAGTCCTAGGTTGATTTTTATTTAGTCCCATCAATCTAAGTCTGATTATTAAATGTAGAAATATATGTTATTCATAGTATATTAAAAACTAGATATTTGATATCCATCATATCATAGACTAATTTTCACAAATGCCTAGGGTGCCTAAATGGTTTTCTTGGCTTCACTGGAGATGACTGGTAATTACAGATTTGCTTTGTTTATGTCACCGTATTCCTATTATGTTAATATGTGT